GGTAGAGCACGGCGTTGTTACGCCAAGGTAGTGGGTTCGATCCCCGGGACCACCCATACACAAAAATTTATGCACGAATTACTGTAAGTCGCTTTGGATAAAAGTGTCTGCTAAATGGCATATTATTATTATTATGGAGGTAAGGCAATAAACAGGCCATAGTGCAAAATAATTACAATTTAGTATTAACACTGGAGTGCTAGATGTGAAGAAGATGATGTGCGAATAGAGATACTGGGATGCAAATGAGCAAAATAAATAACAATGTAAATAACAATATGGGGATGAGGTAGCCCCCCCCCAAAAAAAAAAAAAAAAAAAAACATATTGTAAAGTTGTTGTCCCACTGGCTATCATAAGGTGAATGCACCAATTTGTAAGTTGATCTGGATAAGAGCGTCTGCTAAATGATGTAAATGTACATAAGAGTCTCCAGCTTCAGAGATATTTGCAGTTCGTTCCAGTCATTTGCAGCAGAGAACTGGAAGGAATGGCGACCAAAGGAGGTGTTGGCTTTGGGAATGACCAGTGAGATATACCTACTGGAACGCATACTACGGGTGGGTGTTGCTATGGTGACCAATGAGCTAAGATAAGGCGGGGATTTGCCTAGAAGTGATTTATAGATGACCTGGAGCCAGTGCGTTTGGCGCTGAATATGTAGTGAGGGACAGCTAACGAGAGCGTACAGGTCACAATGGTGGGTAGTATATGGGGCTTTGGTGACAAAACGGATGGCACTGTGATAGACTACATCCAATTTGCTGAGTAGAGTGTTGAAAGCTATTTTGTAAATGACATCGCCGAAGTCAAGGATCGGTAGGATAGTCCGTTTTACGAGGACATGTTTAGCAGCATGAGTGAAGGAGGCTTTGTTGCAAAATAGGAAGCTGATTCTAGATTTAACGTTGGATTGGAGATGCTTAATGTGAGTCTGGAAGGAGAGTTTACGGTCTAACCAGACACCTAGGTATTTGTAGTTGTCCACATATTCTAAGTCAGACCTGCCGAGAGTAGTGATTCTAGTCGGGCAGGCGGGTGCAAGCAGCGTTCGATTGAAGAGCATGCATTTAGTTTTACTAACGTTTAAGAGTAGTTGGAGGCCACGGAAGGAGTGTTGTATGGCATTGAAGCTCGTTTGGAGGTTTGTTAACACAGTGTCCAATGAAGGGCCAGATGTATACAAAATGGTGTCGTCTGCATAGAGGTGGATCTGTGAGTCACCAGCAGCAAGAGCGACATCATTGAAATACACAGAGAATAGAGTCGGCCCGAGAATTGAACCCTGTGGCACCCCATAGAGACTGCCAGAGGTCCAGACAACAGGCCCTCCGATTTGATACATTGAACTCTATCTGAGAAGTAGTTGGTGAACCAGGCGAGGCAGTCATTTGAGAAACCAAGGCTATTTAGTCTGCCAATAAGAATGCAGTGATTGGCAGAGTCAAAAGCCTTGGCCAGGTCGATGAAGACAGCTGCACAGTACTGTCTTTTATCGATCGCGGTTATTATATAGTTTAGGACCTTGAGCGTGCCTGAGGTGCACCCATGACCAGCTCGAAAACCAGATTGCATAGCGGAGAAGGGACGGTGGGATTTGAAATGGTCGGTGATCTGTTTGTTAACTTGGCTTTCAAATACTTTCGAAAGGCAGGGCAGGATGGATATAGGTCTGTAACAGTTTGGATCTAGAGTGTCACCCCCTTTGAAGAGGGGGATGACCGCAGCAGCTTTCCAATCTCTGGGGATCTCAGACGATACCAAAGAGAGGTTGAACAGGCTAGTAATAGGGGTTGCGACAATTTCGGCGGCTAGTTTTAGAAAGAAAGGGTCCAGATTGTCTAGCCCAGATGATTTGTAGGGGTCCAGATTTTGCAGCTCTTTCAGAACATCAGCTGTCTGAATTTGTGTGAAGTAGAAGCGGGGGGGGCATGGGCAAGTTGCAGCGGAGGGTGCAGAGCTGGTGGCCGTGGTAGGGGTAGCCAGGTGGAAAGCATGGCCCGCCGTAGCAAAATGCTTATTGAAATTCTCGATTATCGTAGATTTATCGGTGGTGACAGTGTTTCCTAGCCTCAGTGCAGTGGGTAGCTGGAAGGAGGTGCTCTTATTCTCCATGGACTTTACAGTATCTGTCATGCCCTGGCTCTGGGGACTCTTAAATGTTGAGCCAGGGTGTGGATTTGCTATGTTTAGTTTTTCTATGTTTTTGTTCTAGATCGTTTGATCTATGTTGGCCAGGGTGGTTCCCAATCAGAGGCAGCTGTAGCTCGTTGTCTCTGATTGGGGACCATACTTAGGCAGCCTGTTTTGCACTAGTCTTTGTGGGATCTTGATCCGTAAAGGTTTGTTGTGTTATAACCTCAGGACTTCACGTATCGTTTGTTTGTTGTTTTTGTCGTTAAGTACGTTAAATAAAAGTATGTACGCTTATCACGCTGCGCCTTGGTCCGTGTCTTCAGTCAACGATCGTGACAGAAGATCCCACCATAAGAGGACCAAGCAGCGTGCCCAGGAGGAGAAGATGGCGATGTCGCAGGTGGGCAAATGGTGGTCTTGGGAGGAGATATTCGCGGGGAAAGGGCCATGGGCAAAGGTGAATGCCCAGGCAGGAGAGGAGACTGTGGAGGCGCGCTACAGAGAGGAGCAGCGGCAACGCAGAGGGTACCGGCCGGGGAGGAAGCCCGAGAGACAGCCCCAATAATTTTTTTGGGGGGGGCTAAAAGGGTGGTTGGTGGAGCCACGTACTGTGCCGCGAGTGTTCCGGCACAGTCCTGTACGTCCTGTGCTAGCACCACGCACGTGTCGTGCTAAGTTGGGCATGCAGCCAGGACGGGGTGTGCCGGCTCAATGCTCGTGGCCTCCAGTACCCCTCCTCGGTCCCGTATATCCTGCGCCAGTGCCACGTGCTGTAGCGCCAGTACGAGTGTACAGCCCTGTACGTCCTGTGCTGATGCCTCACACATATTGTGTGGAAATAGGCATTCAGCCAGGACGGGTTGTGTCAGCTCTCCGCTAGTCCGCTTCCACAGTCCGGCCCGGCCCGTTCCGGCTCCCCGCACCAAGCCAATGGTGCGTGTTCCCAGTCCAGCCCGGCCTGTTCCTGCTACCTGCACCAAGCCAATGGTGCGTGTTCCCAGTCCAGCCCGGCCTGTTCCTGCTCCCTGCACCAAGCCAGTGGTGCGCGTCGCCAGCCCTGTCTGGCCTGTTCCTGTCCCTCGCACCAAGCCAGTGGTGCGCGTCGCCAGCCCGTTCCGGCCTGTTCCTGCCCCTCGCACCAAGCCAGTGGTGCGCGTCGCCAGCCCGGTCCGGCCTGTTCCCGACCCTCGCACCAAGCCAGTGGTGCGCGTCGCCAGCCTGGTCCGGCCTGTGCCTGTCCCTCGCACCAAGCCAGTGGTGTGCGTCGCCAGCCCGGTCCGGCCTGTTCCTGTCCCTCGCACCAAGCCAGTGATGCGCGTCGCCAGCCCGGTCCAGCCCGTTCCTGCTCCCCGCACCAAGCCAGTGGTGCGCGTCGTCAGCCCGGTCCGGCCCGTTCCTGCTCCCAGCACCAAGCCAGTGGTGCGCGTCGTCAGCCCGGTCCAGCCCGTTCCTGCTCCCCGCACCAAGCCAGTGGTGCGCGTCATCAGCCCGGTCCGGCCCGTTCCTGCTCCCCGCACCAAGCCAGTTGTGCGTCTGTCCAGTCCGGCACGGCCCGTGCCTGTTCCACCGGTGCCTGGTCCGGCACCGGTCAGCTGCTCCACTCCGGAGCCAGAGCAATCCGCTCCACCGGTGTCCAGTCCAGCTCCGGCCAGCGGGGCCAGACCAGATCAGGGGCGCAACGGGGGGGTGGAGAGAGAGTGGTGGTCACGCCCGGAGCCGGATCCGCCTCCGAGGCGGAATGCCCACCCGGCCCCTACCCTCTTGTGTTTGTGTGGCGCGGTCGCAGTCCGCGCCTATGGGGGGGGGGGGGGGGGGGGGGGGGGGGGGGGTACTGTCACGCCCTGGCTCTGGGGACTCTTAAATGTTGAGCTAGGGTGTGGATTTGCTATGTTTAGTTTTTCTATGGAAACATGAGACACTCACGAATACGATGGTGTTCTCCAGGACTCGTCTGAAATCGGTACTGCAGATCTGCCAACTTCGGTCTGTAGTGTTCAAACAGTATGGTACTTTTCCCCAGATCTGTGCCTCGACACAATCCTGTCTCGGAGCTCTACGGACAATTCCTTTGACCTCATGGCATGGTTTTTGCTCTGACCTGCACTGTTAACTGTGGGACCTTATATAGACAGGTGTGTGCCTTTCCAGTTCATGTCCAATCAATTGAATTTACCACAGGTGGACTCCAATAAAGTTGTAGAAACATCTCAAGGATGATCAATGGAAACAGGATGCACCTGAGCTCAATTTCGAGTCTCATAGCAAAGGGTCTGAATATTTATGCAAATAAGGTAGTTCTGTTTGGTGTTTTTTATTTTAAATTTGCAAAAATGTATAAAAACTTGTTTTCGCTTTGTCATTATGGGGTATTGTGTGTAGATTGCTGAGATTCATTTAAAAAAAATCAATTTTAGAATAAGGCTGTAACGTAACAAAATGTGGAAAAAGTCAACAGTCTGAATACTTTCTGAATGCACTGTATGTCTCTGTGTCCAGTATGAAGGAAGTTAGAAGTCGTTTTGCGAGCCAATGCCAACTACTGGAAGTCTATGGGTATCTGATAGCCATAGACTTCCAGTCATTGCGCTAACACTAATTAGCAAATGCGCTAGCGCTAGTTAGCATTTTTCATCTGACTCTGGGGATTTTGCCCAAATCCCAAAGTATCCCTTTAAAGCCACATTATAGTAATGTATATGTCTATGCTTCTAATACTTACAGAAGAAATGCAATCAGCAATATTTAATAAATATTTCCTGTGCATTTCTCTTTACATTGTGCAAAATGTGTGCATGAACATATTCCAAATAAGTTTTGTCCTTAAATATGTCAACACATTCAAATCAAAATAATGTCAGATAATCTTAATTCTGCCATTCTTCTTTCATTTCTATCCCAGACTCCACTCTGATGTGGTAGAGGTGGTCCTCAACAGATTGTACTCCCAGAGTGCCTATGTAGATCTTAAGACTCCTTCTTTAGTAGCTGATTCTAGTGGTGACATTTGGGATGACTCTGGAAATGTCGTCCTCCATGTATTTCAGACAAAGGCTGAATAGGGCTGGGGTGAAGGGACAGTCATGATGTAGATGTTTCTTATGGACACCCAAATGTTCAACCCTTAGAAGCAACTTCCGCAAGATACCCAAGTCCTGGGAAAGCACCTTCTTCAAAATATTGTCCTCTTTGGGATTTTTTTGTATTGGGATTGCCTTCATTGATTTAATTGCAATGCTTAAGAACTTCCAATTGATCAGTGTTTCGCCATTAATGACCAAAGTAACAGTGCAATGCGGACTCAGGGGTGTCTTGGTCCTTTGATTTAATAAGTACATCTGCAGACGGTTGGCAAGTATTGTTGCAAATATTTTGTACTCTGTTGAATCTTTTAGGGGTTTTATTATTTTCCATGTCCTCTGCGAGTACTTCATTATAATAGAGTTTTAATCTTTCTATTTCTGTAAGGTTATCTAACCTTGAATCATATGTTGTTAAATCTAATCTTGAATCATTTAATTCACATCATGGTGATTGTCTGGAGTCATCTGACCTTGAATCATGTATTGTTGATTGTGTGGAGTCATCTGATCTTGAGTCATGTAGTGTTGATTGTCTGGAATCATCTGGCTTCGATGGTGATTGTCTGGTGTCATCTGACCACCTTGATGGGGATTGTCTGGAGTAAACTGACATTGATGGTGATTGTCTTGAATCATCTGACCTCGATGGTGATCGTGTATAGTCAACTGGCCCTGAAGTCACCACCTCATATGGTAGTGATTGTGTTGAGTCATTAAGGGATTTCATCGCCACTAGGACTTCAGCTCCACTGATTTTTCCTTGCCTTCTTGTTGTTTCACTGTCTCCTATCTGGCTCACTTTTCTGGGAATAACCTGTGTTATTGTACATTCTACTTGGACTCTCAGAGACACAGGATTGTGATCTGAAATCGCATTAGGTTGGTGAATCGTACATCTCAGAGCATGGTGTGCTTTGTTCTGTGGCATGAAGAACATATCTAACCGGGAATAACTGGTGTTTTGAGAACGAGTGAAGGCTTCTTCTGTTGGGTGTAGACTTGCCCATGTGTCTTGGAGGTTCAGTGAGGAAATGAAACTCTGCAGGATGTGTGCCGTCTATGTTCAGATGCTGTACTCTTGTCAAAGTCAAGGTCCAAGACTGTGTTGAAATCCCCCCCAATCACTAAAGTTCCAATCTTCATCTCCTGAAGATACTGTGACAGCCTCCCCAGTACTTTCTTGTCTTCTTTATGATTGTACACATTCACTAGAGTGAAGAGTTGACCATACATCTGACAGAACAGCACAATGTAGCCACCAGTGTAATCTTCATCATGGCAGATGTACTGATAGTGTGATTTTAGTTTTTTATTCACCAGTATGGCCACTCCTTTGCTACTCGGTGAGTAAACAGGAAAGTAAGAGGTCCAATGTCTTTCCATCTCTTTCCATCCATGTTTTTCCATCTCTTTATAGCAGTATGGTCCAATGTGAGTTTCTTGAAGGAAGATTACATCAGCATTCTGTTTCTTGCCATACTTCATTATATCAATCAGTTTATTTGGCCTGTGTTTTGTTGGTTTAACACCACAAGTGTTCCAGGTGATGATTGAGAGACAATTTGCTGTAGATTTTGCCATAGTTCTTGCCATAGCTGTTTCTAGGTTGGATTCTATAACATAAAGATATTGAGTTCATAATAAATTGTTTTAAATCAGACCTTCACACTTCTAACCAAAATATTCAGCCAGATTCAGCATGTATTTGCACACGCACAGAATTACCACAACTTTTTTCCAGAAGATAATAAAAAAAACAAAGCTTAAAGATGAATCTCTGATTATCTGCCATTTACCATCATCTACATTAAATAATAGTGACGTTCTACACACAGTTATTATTTCACCAACACATATTTAAAAAAGGTATAATAACCTCACCTGTGTAGTGCTGATCCAGGTGTGTCTTCTCTGCATGACCTCTGATACTCAGGTGAGTCTATGTATACATGTAAATATATGCCTGCATCCATACAAACATCTACACCCACCTCTGCGTCATACCAACACTTACCAATTGGATAGATGTCGGTGATAAGACTTATGGAATGCCACCCGTAAAACAGAGCTACATAGGGGGGCGTGGGGAATTTCGTTGTTGTCGTGTGTCCTGCTTTGAGAGGTAAGGAATGTCTTCTGAGAATTGCGTACGAACACTTGAGAACAAATTACCATTATTTTCATACAAGTTCAGTGAGGGTAGTGCAGGAATGACCTGATACCTGGATTATGATTTTTGAATCAGATTGTTGTTTCCTGAAAAATGGCACAGGTTCATTGACATTTATATACTGTATTTATACATTTATATTCAATTAGTTGTATAGATCTGGATAATGTGTTGAGCATGTTACAAACACCTACAGTTATTACTGGATAACTGATCATTTGATTCATACAGTGGTGTAAAGTACTTAAGTAAAAAAAAAAAAAAGTACAATTTAAGCAATTTTTGGGTTTATCTGTACTTACCTATTTATATTTTTTGACAACTTTTACTTTTACTTCACTTCATTCATAAAGGAATAATGTACTTTTTAGTCATACATTTTCCCTGACACCCAAAAGTACTTGTTACATGTTGAATGCTTAGCAGGACAGAAACAATTGTGCAATTCACGCACATAAAAAAAAATCCCTGTTTATCCCTACTACCTCTGCTCTGGCTGACTCACTAAATACACATGCTTCGTCTGTAAATTATGAGTGTTGGAGTGTGACCCTGGCTATCCATAAATTGGTGCCGTCTGGTTTGCTTAATGTAAGGAATTTGAAATGATTTATACTTTTGATACTTAAGAATATTTTAGCAATTACATTTACTTTTGATACTTAAGTATATTTAAAATCAAATACTTTTAGACTTTTACTCAAGTACTATTTTGCTGCATTACTTTCACTTTTACTTGAGTCATTTTCTATTGAAGTATTTTTACTTTTACTCAAGTATGAGAATTGTGAACTTTTTTTATTTTCCTTTCTTTCTCCCCAATTTCGATCTTGTCTCATCGCTGCAACACCCCAAAGGGCTTGGAAGGCGAATGTCGAGTCATGCGTCCTCCGAAACATGACCCGCCAAAACGTGCTTCTTTACACCCGCCTGCTTAACCCGGAAGCCAATGTGTCGGAGGAAACCCTGTTCACCTGACAACAGAGGTCATCCTGCAGGGGCCCGGCCCGCCACAAGGAGTCGCTAGAGCGCGATGAGCCAAGTAAACCCCTCCAGCCAATCCCTCCCCTAACCCCGGCGACACTGGGCCAATTGTGTCGCCGGGGTTAGGGGAGGGTCTGTAGTGATGCCTCTAGCTCTGCGATGCAGTGCCTTAGACTACTGCGCCACTCGGGAGCCCCTGTATGAACTTTCTTATAGAACAATTAGGTCATTTCTATAAGTTCTCATGTGTTTGCTCAGTCTGTACAGGGACAATGGATGATTATTGTGTCTTATTGTTAAATGTCGTTTTGTGATTCCCTTTGCTTATTGCAGTGGCAATGTGAACACATCCTGTGATTCAACAGCAAACACTAGATACAGGTATAGGCTCTCTCTCTCTCTCTCTCTCTCTCTCTCTCTCTCTCTCTCTCTCTCTCTCTCTCTCTCTCTCTCTCTCTCGCTCTGTGACTGGTCCGTTACGCCATCTACTGGGATAATACTGGTTACACTGGTCCAACTGGGTTGTAACCTCTGACACTCTGGGATTGGAGAATAGACCCTGCTACTCTGTGGGAGTAATCTGACCATATCTACGATTAACTGGACCTGTGGCTGGTGGTTTACCTCTCAGATTGGGATTGAATTGGGAGGGGGTGAGGGAGGGAGGTTTCTGTCCCCCCTTACCATCTTGTTGTTGCATGGGGACTCTCTCACCCCACTCCTACTTCTTTTACTTGTACCCATGTCTCTCCTTCTTCAGTCTTAAAAGGCAATCAAAAGGAATTGTGGGACACACACTGAAGGTACCGCATCACCTAACCTCACTCCAGTGAACCCGCTCCGAACCGCATCAGCTGATTTTTGGCATATGCTCCTGACCAACCAGGTATACAAGTATTTAGACTGCTGATCACTTAACCAGGTGAGGCCCTCCACCAATGAGGAGAGGTCTAAAGCTGGTGTTGATGTTCGAATAGAGGTTCTTGTTTTAACGCAGTCGACTCTGCTTTAGGTTTTTCAGGTAAATATTGATGTTTGTACAGGTCCAGACATCCATTTAGAAACAAATCTGTTTAATTTTACATGGCTGAACGTGAGTAAATTCAATGTTATTATCAATGTAATTTGAATGATTTAAAATGTTATTTTGCTTGTGTAGAATATGTTGCTTAGATCTATGACATTTATGAATGTATTACTTCAATGTCATTTCATTTTTTTTTCAATCACAAAAGTTATATCAGGGAACACTAAAGTGCACTTGTTGTGTTGAAGTGTGTGTAACAAATACTGTGCTTTCGGAATGTATTCAGACCCCTTGACTTTTTCCACATTTTGTTACGTTACAGCCTTATTCTAAAATTGATTAAATAAATAATCATCCTTATCAATCTACACACAACCCCATAATGACAAAGCGAAAACAGGTTTTCAGAATTGTTTGCAAATTTAAAATAAATAAATGACAGAAATGTCTTATTTACATAAGTATTCAGACCCTTTGCTATGAGAATCGAAATTGAGCTCAGGTGCATCCGGTTTCCATTCATCCTTGATATGTTTCTACAACTTGATTGGAGTCCAAATTAAATTCAATTAATTGGACATGATTTGGAAAGGAACACACCTGTCTATATATGGTCCCACAGTTGACAGAGCATGTCAGAGCAAAAACCAAGCCATGAGGTCGAAGGAATTGTCCGTAGAGCTCCGAGACAGGATTGTGTCGAGGCACAGATCTGAGGAAGGGTACCAAACAATTTCTGCAGCATTGAAGGTCCCCAAGAACACAGTGGCCTCCATCGTTCTTAAATGGAAGAAGTTTGGAACCACCAAGACTCTTCCTAGAGCTGGCCGCCCAGCCAAACTGAGCAATCGGGAGAAAAGGGCCTTGGTTAGGGAGGTGACCAAGAACCCGATGGTCACTCTGACAGAGCTCTAGAGTTAGTCTGTGGAGATGGGAGAACCTTCCAGAAGGACAACCATCTCTGCAGCACTCCACCCATCAGGTCTTTATGGTAGAGTGGCCAGACGGAAGCCACTCCTCAGTAAAAGGCACATTGGAGTTTACCAGAAGGCACCTAAAGACTCTCAGACCATGAGAAACAAGGTTATCTGGTCTGATGAAACCAAGATTGAACTCTTTGGCCTGAATGCAAAGCGTCACGTCTGGAGGAAACCTGGCACCATACCTATGGTGAAGCATGGTGGTGGCCTCATCATGCTGTGGGGATGTTTTTCAGCGGCAGGGACTGGGAGACTATTCAGGATCAAGGGAAAGATGAACTGAGCAAAGTACAGAGAGATCCTTGATGAAAACCTGCTCCAGAGCACTCAGGACCTCAGACTGGGGCGAAGGTTCACCTTCCAACAGGACAACAACCCTAAGCACACAGCCAAGACAATGCAGGAGTGGCTTCGGGACAAGTCTCTGAATGTCCTTGAGTGGCCCAGCCAGAGTCCGGACTTGAACCCAATCAAACATTACTGGAGAGACCTGAAAATAGCTGTGCAGCAACGCTCCCCATCCAACCTGACAGACCTTGAGAGGATCTGCAGACAAGAATGGGAGAAACTCCCCAAATACAGGTGTGCCAAGGTTGTAGCATCATACCCAAGAAGACTCGCGACTGTAATCGCTGCGAAAGGTGCTTCAACAAAGTACTGAGTAAATGGTCTGAATACTTATGTAAATGTGATATTTCAGTTTTGTTTTTTTCATAAATTTCTATAAACCTGTTTTTGCTTTGTCATTATGGGGTATTGTGTGTAGATTGATGAGGGGAAAAAAACAATTTAATCAATTTTAGAATAGGCTGTAATGTAACAAAATGTGGAAAAAGTCAAGGGGTCTGAACACTTTCCGATGCCACTGTATATCATAAACCTAACAATTATAAATGTTTTGTTTTTAAAAGTGAGAGATTTAACTGAAACTATTGTTCTTAATTTAATCCCCCAAAAACGAGTGAAATTATTAATTCAGATTATTTGCTTACCTTAATCCAACATCATTTGTTGAGAAATTTTCCCCCATTAATTTTTCTTAAATATTGGCTTTTCTGGGCTGCAGTGGTTCCCACATTCTAATGCTGTCTTTGGTCACAGCATTTAGAAAATTATATTTTATTTCCGAATAAAATGTTGACTATTAGTTATGCCTGTAAGCACTTACTAAGGAAGAGGAGTCTGTGATAATGCTTTACACACACATTTGGATATCAATATAATTTAAATGACGGTTAAATTATTGTGTTTGGTCTGAGCAGGTTATTCAGGAATGTTATGATTATTACAGTGGTGTGAACCCTGATGTCTGGAACCTTGTTGTTAAAATCTGGTGCTCCCAGAGTTAGAATTTATTACAATCAGTTCATACGAAGAATACTTTTTTTGTTTTGTGGGTTTTAGTTTTTTTGTTTTCACATTTTAGTGAAGAATGTAGCATCTTCTATGAAGAGCGAACTGCAATAAGACTTTTGAATTATCCTTTTTTATTTGTCTTAATTTGTTGTTCTTTGTTTTACTTCAGCAAGTCCTATAATCAAGATGAATTTAGACAATATACACACACAAATACACACACACACTTGCAAATACACACACATGCAAATACACACCTTTATTTTTGGAAGAGAGACATATTATGTACAATGCACAGGAGTATGTTCATAATGAGAGCTCAGGGACTTCAGATTAACTTGTGGTTTCAAAGGCCTTTGTAACCTGAGAAACCCATCAAAATATTTAGTTGATTTTATATTTGATATACAGTCGGCAGAACCCTGATAAGACTGAGACATTGCATACTCCTGGAAGCACTTCTCCTTCATGCATCATAGGTTACCTCAAACATCTATTAAGTATAATATTTAGCTACAGTAGTTAGTTATATTCCTATCAAGACGGATATGCAATGACGAATACAGCAATATTTTTTTTAAAAATAAAATACAGTTACATCTAAATAACATATACGTTTGAAAAGACATTTACGTTTATATAGGTAGTAATGTATAGGCCCAGTGTCACGATCGTTCATCGACGGGACGGACCAAGGCGCAGCGTGATATGCATACATGTTTATTTATATTGAATAAACACCACAACAAAACAACAAACGAAACGTGAAGTCCAAGGTAGACAAATAACGTACCTCACACGGAACAAGATCCCACAACTAACAGGTGCCAAAAGGCTGCCTAAGTATGGTCCCCAATCAGAGACAACAAGCAACAGCTGCCTCTGATTGGGAACCACACAGGCCAACATAGATCTAGACATACAAGATCTAAACATAGAAAATCCAACATAGAACATCACCACCATATATTCACAACAACAAAAATCACACCCTGACTTAACAAATACGAGTCCTTAGAGTCAGGGCGTGACAGTACCCCCCCCCCCCAAAGGTGCGGACTCCGACCGCGCCACATAAACATAACAGGGTAGGGGCCGGGTGGGCATTCCGCCTCGGAGGCGGATCCGGTTCCGGGCGTGACCACCACTTACTCTCCACCTCCCTGTTGCGCCCCTGGTCTGGTCTGGACCTCGGCGCGCTGCTTCCCCTCTCCTTCCTCCCACGACGTACCAAGCCCTGTCTGGACCCTGGTGTGGGAGACCCCGAACCTGGAGAGGGGCTGACGTCTGGGTCTGGACTGGAACCGCTGACTGGAGCTGGACCCGACGACGGTGGATCGAACTGCTCTGGCTCCGGAGTGGAGCCGCTGACCGGAGCTGGATCGGGCACCGGTGGAGTGGATTGCTCTGGCTCCGGAGTGGAGCAGCTGACCGGAGCTGGACCGGACCCCGGTGGAGCGGATTGCACTGGCTCCGGAGTGGAGCCGCTGACCGGAGCTGGACTGGACCCCGGTGGAGCGGATTGCTCTGGCTCCGGAGTGGAGCAGCTGACCGGTGCCGGACCAGGCACCGGTGGAACAGGCATGGGCCGTGCCTGACTGGACACACGCACCACTGGCTTGGTGCGGAGAGCAGGAACGAGCCGGACCGGGCTGACGACGCGCACCACTGGCTTGGTGCGAGGGACAGGAACAGGCCGGGCCGGGCTGGCGACGCGCACCACTGGCTTGGTGCGAGGGACAGGAACAGGCCGGGCCGGGCTGGCGACGCGCACCACCGGTTTGGTGCGAGGGGCAGGAACAGGCCGGGCCGGGCTGGCGACGCGCACCACCGGTTTGGTGCGAGGGACAGGAACAGGCCAGACCGGGCTGGCGACGCGCACCACTGGCTTAGTGCGGGGAGCAGGAACGGGTCGGGCCGTACTGGGAACACGCACCACTGGCTTAGTGCGGGGAGCAGGAACGGACCGGACCGTACTGGGAACACACACCACTGGCTTAGTGAGGGGAGCATGAACGGGTCGGGCCGTACTGGGAACACGCACCACTGGCTTAGTGCGGGGAGCAGGAATGGGCCGGACTGGGAACACACACCACTGGCCTTGTGCGGGAAGCAGGAATGGGTCGGGCCGTACTGGGAACACGCACCACTGGCTTAGTGCGGGGATCAGGAACAGGCCGGACCGGACTGGTGACACGCACCACTTGCTGGGTGCGAGGAGCTGGACTAGGTTCCTTTATAAACCCCCGCTCCTTCTGCTGCCTAACCAGCTCCTCTCGCCGTACCTCTACACTCTCCTTCTCCCTTATAGCCTCCTGTAGCTCCTCCCTCTGACCAAATAACTCCTGCTCCCTCTGAACCAATAGCCCCCGTAACCTGGTGGCCTCCTCTCCTAACCTGCAGAATCGCCCTGTCGCTGCCTCCTGCTGCCTCGTCGTCCACACCGTGTGCCCCCCCCCAAAAAAAAAAATGTCTTGGGGTTGCCTCTCGGGTCTCCGTCGTCGGCACTGTTGGCGCCGTTTCTCCTCTCCTACCTGGGCATCCTCATTCATCGCCCTCCGGTAACGGACGGCCTCTTCCTCCGTAATTCTCCCCCAACCGAGGAGGACATCAACTAATGTAACCTCCCGTTGAATTCCCGGCGTTTGCTCCTGAACACGCTGCTTGGTTCTATTTTGGTGGGATCTTCTGTCACGATCGTTGACGAACGGGACGGACCAAGGCGCAGCGTGATATGCATACATGTTTATTTATATTGAATAAACACCACGACAAAACAACAAACGAAACGTGAAGTCCAAGGTAGACAAATAACATACCTCACACGGAACAAGATCCCACAACTAACAGGTGCCAAAAGGCTGCCTAAGTATGGTCCCCAATCAGAGACAACGAGCAACAGCTGCCTCTGATTGGGAACCACACAGGGCAACATAGATCTAGACATACAAGATCTAAACATAGAAAATCCAACATAGAACATCACCACCATATATTCACAACAAGGAAAATCACACCCTGACTCAACAAATACGAGTCCTTAGAGTCAGGGCGTGACACCGAGATATCCAATATCCCTGGATATGAAGTCTAACTCCACTTATTTCATGGTTTATGATCTAACCTGATGACATGTTTGTCACAGATAATACATGCTCTGTAGGACTGGTTCTGGGTTTGACCTTCACTTTGCTACTATCTTTCCTTCGGGATCCCATCCATCGTAGTGGATTTGGTTTGGTGTGGGTCTGGCTGGCCATGGGTTTGGTGATAGCTGAAGACACTGATGGCTGAACAGGCGCTCAGGGCCCATAGCATGCAGTATGGAGAGCACTGGTTCAACACTTCATGGATGTTGTTCCATATATGTTTCTTATATTTTCATGTTATTTTGTTTATCTCATTGTGAAGCTGAAGGCAATATCCACATTTAGAGAACAGTAACAGTTTCTCTAATAATCTTCAAAGAACGTTTCATTTAATTTGAATGTCCATCATCTTCCACAATTTTACATTCAATTACCTTCCAACTCAGGCCAGACTCCTTTCTGATTTCAGACAACAGTTTGTCCATAGGATGCTGTTTCTCTTGTTCCATGTAGATCAAAAGACTCCGTCTTTGACGGCTAACACTAAGGACTGTGCCTGTCTTCTGGATTCGGTGCTCCATGTACTTCAGACACAAGTAGAGTAGTGCTGGGGTGAGGGGGCATTCATCCTGTAGATTGTTTTGGGTAACCAAGGAACTTTCAACCATTGTGAGTAACTTCCACAAGATGCCCAAGTCCTGAGGAAGCACCTGCTTTAGGATTGTGAAGTCTGTAGGGGGAGACTGAATTATGAGAATGGACTCCAGGGCTTTGCTTAAGAATTTCCCCTTAATCGATGGTTGCCTGGACAGGGAAACTATGCATGTGGTAGTATGTGGTGGTATTTTAATCCTTCCTTTGAACGAGGGTGCTAGGTACATCTTCAGACGGTTGGCAAGTATTGTGGCAAATATTTTGTACTCTCGGTTATTGAATCCGTCAGGTATTTGTTTCTCCCCGCTGAGCATTCCATTGTAATTATGCTTTAATATCTCTGTTTCCATAAGGTTATCATCCCTTGATCCATTTGATGAGTCGGTCAAGGATTTCATTGCTATAAGAACTTCTGCTCCACTGATTTTTCCTACTCTTCTATCTAATATGGTATTGTCTATTAGTCCACCATCAGCCAGCTTTTGATGAACATCTGTTAACGTACTTCCTATTTTAGGAATGTGGATCATCAGAGACACAGGGTTGTGATCTGAAATCTCTGAGACAGTGTGAATCTCACAGCTCTGAGCACATGTGGCTTTGTCCTGTTGCATGAAGAACATATCTATCCGGGAGTGGCTGGTGTTCTGAGATCGAGTGAAGGCTTCTTCTGTTGGGTGTAGTCTTGCCCATGTGTCTTGGAGGTTCAGTGAGGAAATGAAACTCTGCAGGAGACTTCGTAAGGATGTGTGCCGTCTATGTTCAGATAATGTACACTTGTCAAAGTCAAGGTCCAAGACTGTGTTGAAATCCCCCCAATCACTAAAGTTCCAATCTTCATCTCCTGAAGATACTGTGACAGCCTCCCCAGTACTTTCTTGTCATCTTTATGATTGTACACATTCACTAGAGTGAAGAGTTGACCATACATCTGACAGAACAGCACAATGTAGCCACCAGTGTAATCTTCATCATGGCAGATGTACTGATAGTGTGATTTTAGTTTTTTATTCACCAGTATGGCCACTCCTTTGCTACTCGGTGAGTAAACAGTAAAGTAAGAGGTCCAATGTCTTTCCATCTCTTTCCATCCATGTTTTTCTATCTTTCTATAGCAGTTAGGTCCAATGTGAGTTTCTTGAAGGAAGATTACGTCAGCATTCTGTTTCTTGCCATAGTTAATTATATCAATCAGTTTATTTGGGCTGCGTTTTGTTGGTTTAACACCACAAGTGTTCCAGGTGATGATAGAGAGAATATTTGCTTTAGATTTTACCATAGTTCTTGCCATAGTTGTTTCTAGGTTGGATTCTATAACATAAAGATATTGAATTCAAAATAAATGGCTTTAAATCAGACTTTCCTCCTTCTAACCAAAAGATTCAGCCAGATTCAGCATGTATTTGCACAAGCGCAGAATTAACACAACTTTTTTCCAGAAGATAATTTTAAAAACAAAGCTTAAAGATGAATCTCTGATTATCTGCCATTTACCATCATCTACATGAAATAATAGTGAAGTTCTAGACACAGTTATTATGTCACCAACACATATTTAAAAAAGGTATAATAACCTCACCTGTGTAGTGCTGATCCATGTGTGTCTTCTCTGTATGACCTCTGATACTCAGGTGAGTCTGTGTATACATGTAAATAAATGAATGCATCCATACAAACATCTACACCTACCTCTGTGTCATACCAGCACTTATCATTGGATAGATGTCAGCGATAAGATTTATGGAAAACAGAGCTACGTAGTTAATTTGATTTTCCATTTCCTATCCAGGTTTTGTATCACTATCTATAGTTTTGATCATGCAAATTATATGTTATTGTTGAAGTAGGAATTACTGCCAATGTCAATGTCACGTCCTGGCTCTGGGACTCTGTTATGTTGAGCCAGGGTGTGTTGTTTCTATGTGTTTTTGTGTTCTAGGTTGATTATCTAGCTCATGTGTTTCTGTGTTGGCCGGGGTGGTTCTCAATCAGAGACAACGAGTATCAGCTGTTGCTTGTTGTCTCTGATTGGGAACCATATTTAGGCAGCCTGTTTTGCTACAGTGTTTGTGGGATCGTGCTCCGTGTTTGGTTAGTGTCTATTGCCAAGGACGTCACGTATCGTTTTGTTGTTTTGTTCGTGTGATCATTAAAAATAAAAGTATGTTCGCATTCCACGCTGCGCATTGGTCCGTTTCTTCAAATGACGATCGTGACAGAAGATCCCACCATAACTGGACCAAGCAGCGTGTCCAGGAGCCAACGCCAGAGGTGACTCTGATGGATGTCCACCTCGACTGGGTCGAGCAGCGTGTCCAGGAGCCAACGCCAGAGAGGACTCTTATGGATATCAACCTCGACTGGGTCAAGCCGCGTGAGGAGGAGAGAGGTTGGACTTGGGAGCAGAAGAGGGAGAGTCTGGCGAGAGCCATGTAGGCCATAGCCACGGGGGAGAGACAAACCCCAAAAAAATGTAGGGGGGGGCTCACACCGTGGACGACGGGGCTGCTGGAGGCAGATAAGGGGCGAGTTAGTGGACGAGGAGAGAAGGCCACCGGGTTACGGGAGCCATTGGCGAGTAGAGGGAAGGAAGATGTAGAGGCACGGCGAGAGGTACTGAGGTGTGTTGCCAGTCCGGTCCGGCCCGTTCCTGATCCCCGGGTAAAGCCAGTGGTGTGTGTTCCCAGTGCGGCCCGGCCTGTTCCTGTCCCTCGCACCAAGCCTGTGATGCGCGTCGCCAGCCCGGTCCGGCCTGTTCCTGCTCCCCGCACCAAGCCTATAGTGCGCGTCGCCAGCCCGGCCCGGCCTGTTCCTGCTCCCCGCACCAAGCCAATGGTGCGCGTCGCCAGCCCGGCCCGGCCAGTTCCTGCTCCCCGCACCAAGCCTATGGTGTGCGTCGCCAGCCCGGTCCGGCCTGTTCCTGCTCCCCGCACCAAGCCTATGGTGTGCGTCTTCAGCCTGGTCCGGCCCGTTCCTGCTCCCCGCACCAGACCAGGGATGCGCGTCGTCAGCCTGGTTCGGCCCGTTCCTGCTCCCCGCACCCAGCCTGTGCTGCGCTTCGTCAGCCTGGTTCGGCCCGTCCCTGCTCCCCACACCAAGCCTGTGGTGCGCGTCGTCAGTCCGGTCCGGCCCGTCCCTGCTCCCCGCACCAAGCCTGTGGTGCGCGTCGTCAGTCCGGCACAGCCTGTGCCTGGGAATCGCGTATGAACACTTGAGGACAAATTACCATTATTTTCATACAATTTCAGTGAGGGTAGTGCAGGAATTACCTGATAACTGGATTATGATTTTTGATTCAGATTGTTTCCTGATTTGTACTGTATTTATAAATGTATATTCAATTAGTTGTATAGATCTGTATAATGCGTCGAACATGTTATAAACACCTACAGTTATTACTGGATAACTGATCATTTGATTCATACAGTGATGTAAAGTACTTAAGGAAAAATACTTTAAAGTACTACTTAAGTCGTTTTTTGGGGTATCTGTACTTTATTTTACTACATTCCGAAAGAAAATAATGTACTTTGTACTCATACATTTTCCCTGACACCCAAAAGTACTCGTTACATTTTGAATGCTTAGCAGGACAGGACAATGGTCCAATTCACACACATATCAAAAAAATTCCCTGGTCATCACTATTACCTCTGCTCTGGCTGACTCACTAAACACACATGCTTCGTCTGTAAATTATGTCTAAGTGTTGGAATGTGCCCCTGGCTATCCATAAATTGGTACTGTCTGGTTTGCTTAATATAAGGAATTTGAAATGATTTATACTTTGATACTTAAGTATATTTTAGCAATAACATTTACTTTTGATACTTAAGTATATTTAAAACCAAATACTTTTAGACTTTTACTTTAGTAGTATTTTACTGGGTGACTTACACTTTTACTTGAGTCATAATCTCCCCAATTTCAATCTTGTCTCATCACTGCAACTCCCCAAAGGGCTCGGGAGGCGAAGGTTGAGTCATGCGCCCTCCAAAACATGACCCGCCAAACCACGCTTCTTAACACCCGCCTGCTTAACCTGGAAGCCAGCCGCACCAATGTGTCGGAGGAAACACCGTTCACCTGACGACCGAGGCCAGCCTGCAAGTGCCCAGCCCGCCACAAGGAGTCGCTACAGCGCGATGAGCCAAGTAAAGCTCCCTCGGCCAAACCCTCCCCTAACCCGGACGACGCTGGGCCAATTGTACGCCACCCTATGGGACTCCCGATCACGACCGGTTGTGATACACCCCGGGAATGAACCAGTGTCTGTAGTGATGCCTCTAGCACTGTGATGCAGTGCCTTAGACTACTGTGCCACCCGGAAGCCCCTGTATGAACTTTCTTAAAGAACAATTAGTTAATTTCACATAGTTGCCATGTGTTTGTTCAGTCTGAACAGGGACAACGGATGATTATTGTGTCTTATTGTTAAATGTCCTTTTGTGATTCCCTTTGCTTATTACAGTGGCAATGTGAACACATCCTGTGATTCAACAGCAAAACTAGATACATGTATTAAGGTATAGATATCCTATATACTCTATCTTTCGCTATCATAGGATATGTCGCGAGAGAGAGGAGCAGAATAGAGAGTAGAGAGAGAGAGAGAGAGAGAGAGGAGCGAGGAGAGGGAGAGGGAGAGAGTAGACGAGAGACGAGAGAGAAGTAGAGTATGAGTAGAGAACAGGAGTAGATCAGATCTGAGAGAGATGAGAGATATCTACAGAGGATAGTAAGAGTATATGTTCTCCTCTTCTATGATGGAGCTAGGAGGAGAGTTATGAGAGAGACTATATCTATAGTCTCTCTATCTAATCAGCTTTTTCTATCGCATCTATAGCGTCTCTTCTCTCTCTATCTTCTCTCCTCTCTCACTCTTCTCTCTCTCTCTCTCTCTCTCTCTTCTCTCTCCTCTCTCTCTCTCTCTCTTCTCTCTCTCTCTACAGTGACTGGTCTGCTACGCCATCAACTGGGATCATACTGGTTAGACTGGTCCAACTGGGCTGTAACACCTGACACTCTGGGATTGGAGAATAGACCCTGCTACTCTATAGTCGTAATCTGACCATATCTGGGATTACCTGGACCTGTGGCTGGTGGTTTAGCTCTCAGATTGGGATTGAATTGGGAGGGGGTGAGGGAGGGAGGTTTCTATCCCCTCTCCCCTTCTTGTTCTGGCATGGGGACTCTCTCACCCCACTGCTTCCCCCTGTACCCCTGCCCCCCCTTCTTCTGTCTTAAAAGGCAATCAAAAAATGGTGGTACACACACCAAGCACATTTTGAACTGCATCTGCTGATTGGCGGATGCTTCTGACCAACCAGGTGTATAGCAATTTAGACTGTGAGGCCCTCCACCAATGAGGAGAAGCCTGAAGCTGGTATTTATGTTTGAATAGAGGTTCTTGTTTTAGCGCAGTAAAGACTCTGTTTTAAGTTTTTTAGTTAAATATTGATGTTTTGTAGAGGTCCAAAGGTGTTGGCATCCATTTTGATTATTTGAAACATTCTGAAAAAATCTGTTATTTTTAATATGGTTGAACTTGAGTTTTATAATTGTTATACAAATGTTTACAAGTATGGTGACACATGTAGCTCTATCAACAATAACTGCTCTTAGTACAGGTTGCCCTGAATTATTTTAAGGTTATAAAACATCATTTTTTTATCATCTGTTTTTTAAACAAATAGCATGACTCAATGTTTTATTATCAATGCAA